GGGGGGGGGGGGGGGAGGGGCAAGTCTCCAGGAAACACAAAGCCCCCCCGAGTGAAGGGACCTCTGCCCTCTATCTGGTACACAATCAACATGAAGGCAAAAGGAAATAATGAAAATTCAATCCATTCAGTCCCCAGTGGGCCAGACGAAGTTTTACTCTGAAGTCTCTCCGTGTGATTACGTTTTTTGTCTAATTTTCTCAATAATGGGCCTGAGCCATGATAACATTCTCCAATTGTGCAGCCCACCCCGGCTGCGAGCTCCTCCTGGAGATACAAATCCTTCTTATTATTTCCTGCCCTGACTGCTCCCGGGACATTCTCAACGGTAACGACAGAGGCACCGATTCATTTACTCCCTCAGCGGCACATGAGCCCTCGCACCAGCAGGTGAAGTTCCAAGGCCTAAGGAAGCACAGGCCAGACTCTGTCCCTTCCTGTGGACGGAGGGATGAGGAATGTGAGGAACGACCCGCTGCTGCTGAGGGCAGTGTGGGTGCCAGGCCCACCCCGTGCCATCCCTCATTCTGGTATGGGGGCATTTAAATGTATGTATTTTTATTTTTTTCATTTCTTTTTTAAATTTTTTATTTTTAAATAAAATTTATTTATTTGGGAGAGAGAGATAGAGAGTGTGCGCACGCAGGGGAGGGGCAGAGAGGAGAGAAAGAATCCCCAGCAGCCTCCGTGCTCTCAGCGCAGAGCCCAGTGCAGGGCTTGAACCCATGAACTGTGACACCATGACCTGAGCTGATATCAAGAGTCAGACGCTCAACCGACTGAGCCACCCAGGTGCCCCTGTCATGGGATGCATGTCCACGCCGTGCAGTCACTGTGCTGGCTGCCTCACGTGAACATGTGTCAGTGACTGCTGTGACCCCTGACCTTGGGGTCTGGTGGCGAAGACCGAAAATGACCAGCCGTGTGTGGGGTGCGGGCAGGGACAGGGTAGGCGTGCTCAGGAAATCTCCCTCTGCTTCCTCGAAGGGACCGGCCAGGACTGGCTCTCTGTGTGTGCAATCCTGTTTAACCGCAGCCTGTGGAGACCATGCAGCGGGCAAAGGGCCAGTGCCCGCCTCCCTGGGCTGTGCTCACACTGAGCTCCCGAGTTGGACAGCCTCACCCCTTCTGCAGGGCCACATACAGATGGGCAGTGCCCGGACGCCCGCACAGAGCTGCCAAACGATCCTGCGTGGAACGGAATGTGCTTTGGCAAAGGACAATCCTAAAGGGCCTGCGAGGTGCCGGGCGGGGATGGGAGCTGCCCCCGGAGGGCCGGCGTGTGGTTTTAGCAGACATGGTGACTCCCAGTCTCAAAGCTACGGCCCACATTCATGATTTCCTCTCCGAGGCTCAAACCCCAGCCAGGATGGGGTGGGCATCATCACCTCTCACCTAGAAACCTCAGTGGCCCCAAGTCACTTGGGCCTCCATTCGTGTCCCTTGTCATTCACTGTGGACGCAGCTAGAGATACACTCTCCTGACAAAAGCTGTCCAGTGGCTTCCCAGCACACGGAAGCAAAGCTGAGCTCCTCACGAGGGCCTGCGGGCCCCCCGAGCTGCCCTGGCTGTTGGCACGGGACGCAGCCCCCCTGTTTACAGGCAGCTCCTCTGTCCTGGCTGGGCGCCTCCTCTCCGGACCTCGTGGCCTCAGTCCCTTCCTTTCCACGTGAACCAGGGCAGCCCGGCCTTCCCCAGCTCTGTCCTGCATTTGTTTCTGCTGAAATGTCACGCTCTCTGCTCCACCCGTGGCCTGGCGCTCGTAGATCCTTGTTGAAACATTGCATCTTGTGGACGGTCACGTTCGCCGGTGCGCAGATGGTACAAGGGCCCTCGTTAGCTGGAGAGAACGGGCGGACTGTCATCGGTGGCAAGGAGCCCAGCGAAGTGCATCTCGGCTTACTGTTCAGACCAGGACTTGGCCTTGGCCCCTCTCTCCCAACTTCTGGCTCCTCCCTACTCACAACGAAGGGTGACGAACTTTGGAACGAATACCAGCAGCAGGTACGGATCTTGGAAAGCCCCACAGAGTAGGAGACTCGCAGACGGTCAGAGGAACCGTATTTCCAGGACCGAAGGCCCAGGGCCAGCTTCTCGCATCAACAGATGTCTCGGCTGAGCCCTTTATCTCTGGGCCGAGTGGCTCACAGCACACGCACTGCTGCGTCCCGACGCTGCCTTCTGAACTGACCTCCAGTCCAGACCCCCCAGCTGGGACATGCTGGTCTGTCCACACCTGCTCTCACTTACTCCATTTGTTACACTTCCAGGTACCCGGCTCTGTGCAGTCCTGCCCCACACTGTGGACTTGCCACGTGTCAGCACCCCAGGCCCCAGCTGGGCCACTGATGACCAGACAGGCTGGCGGTGCTGGGGTGGCCCAGCTCTTCCCCTTGGTGCAGCGAGTACCCGGCAGGTCTGTAGGCACTCAATAAGTGCTGACTTTTCACGGACACGTGCCATCCCCTGGGCTTTGACTCATCTGCAGTGGGGTGGGGCACAGGCCCCAGAACGTTCTAGAGCCTCCCAGGCAATTCTAGGTGCAGCAGGGCTGAGAACCACGGCCCCAGGGGGCCTTGCCTTTCCAGGAGATTATAATTTTTACAATTACACTCCAGTTCCTTCTGCGCTTAAATAACTTACCAAACCCACCTGGAATTTCCTTTCCGTTTCTTTCCTGAACCGTTTCTCTCTGATATAATTAACAAGAACCCCAGGCACACAGTTCTTTCCCTTGCAAACCAATTTATGAAACGGAACCTGATGTGAGCAGAGAATAAAACCCCAGGGCCCCGCACCCGACACTCACACGATGTCTGCGAAGACGCTCATCGGCACCTCCAGGAGTTGCGCCACGCCCTCCATCAGCTCCTTCCCCTTTTCTGGGCTCAGGGGGCTGTTGAGGAGAGCGGGGGGCAGCGTTACAAAATGGAACTCATCAACACTTGAGAAGCTGCACGTCCCCC